TCTGTGTTATAATTAAACACCTGGGACGAACTGGCATCTTCTGGCATGGTTTTCTTAGAATTTTTTAAAATGTATTAATTATTCTGACTAGAAATCGTGACACCGACAGAATTAAGGCCAGAGCGTCAGAACTACAACAAGAAGTTAATTACTGAACTGACCATTGCAGGAGGACAAACAGTTTTAAATTCTCGGGGAATATTCATACTTTTTATGTCCTTTTTATAGAACTAAGGAACCCTTACAACTGCGACAATGCTCATGACCAATTTCTTTTTAATAATGATGAGATTCTTATCGATGGAAATAGCTTTTCCTTTAAAAGAAAATAAATTGACAAACGAGAAAAAAACTAAAGGAGAACAGAAGACACTTAAAAACTTTGTGCGAGATCCGGGGCCAAATGGCTGGTTATAAACGATGTAATACGATTGAGTGAAATAATTCAGTTAAATGATAAAGCCGAATTAAAAAAATTACGGTAATCTTCAGACGATAAGATCGACCGGATACGCGTTACCCTATGAATTAATGCGACCAGTCATGATTGGCTGGTATTCAATCACAGATGTGATTGGCCTCAGTTCGATTAAATGTTCTCTCAGCGGTACGTCGTCGTGCGGTTCTCCTGGTGTAGTAAGGGGGGTAAGTTTCTAAAGAAACTGTGGCGCTGGGTCGGTGGGAGAGTATAACAGGGTAATTAAGTATTATCAACGTAAATTGGCCATTGTAAAGAGTTTTAAGCTAAGGCTGACGTTCTGAGCGTTAGCCCTTTGTCAGAGCGAATGTTGTTGTGTTTTTTGATGGCCCGCATCCATGCCTCTGGGATTTCGACTCTATTATCCCTTGTTGATTTTGTCAGATTGAAGTCTTAAGTGGAAGATAAAGTTTAACCCATACAAGACTTTTACCGTCGGTTTGCGAAATCTATGCTCCACGATGTTAAATCACATAAAGAGCTATATTTTCTTTACAGCTTCAATCAATTTATTTTATTATTTTCCTTTTCTTCAATCGATCGACCGGTGACACTAAATTAATTTTTATTATTTAAAAAATACGTATATATTCGCTCGTCGTCCTCGACATTTGAACATAACACGCCTGAAATTCCTTTCTTAACAAATGAACATTAAGAAAAACTTACAGCTGGTGTGTATAAAACGTTAAATGTTCTGAAAATGTATTGAATTAGTCGCTGCGGACTGTGCAGCATGCTGCCCAGTTTACTGTCCGCTATAAACATAGACCTGTGATAGTCACAAATATCTTGTGTGGCTGTGCCTCTTCCTTTTTCCACACATTTCCCTCGGTGTTTACCGGCAACTCCACCATGAACAAAACAAACAATAACTACAGCAAGCACGGCCAAATTTATGGAAGATTTCATCACGCCACCGTGCAAAGTGTAAATAAAAAGGACGAGGGTGTAAACTAACACGTAGAAGGTAAAGTTCAGAACAACGATGTGTGTAAGTCTCAGCCTTAGAAACTTCGAACTTTCCTTAGAAACTGCGAAAAACTTCGTCTAAATTTGATTCTCCACATTTACATCAGCAAATTTTCCATCATGGTGCGCATTTGTATCATTTGACCGTTGTGTTCGGCTAAGTGGGTTACCCCACCTGGAGAGGTTAACATCGCATATTGCAAACCCGACTACAGGCGGGTCATCCCGACTGTAATGTAAACGCGATCAAATAAGAGATCATGTGGCGTGGGGCTTTCCCACCTCCATGTAAACAGGCCCTTAGAAAGAGGAAGCTCCTTTAATTAAAACCCCAGATTTACTACAAGCCTTTCTTCAATGTATTCGCAAGCAAGTTCTATTTTCTTTCAAATATATCATTTCATATGCTACCTGAAGAACTTGTTCTCGTTTTTTATCACTGTTTACTTAATTTCATTTCCCGTTTAGTCAACCTTTTAGAGGACGAAGCAGCATCGACTCTAGTCTCGAGTAAAACCTGCCTCCACAGTAGTAGTCATGATCATTCATCCATATTTTTCAATACGGACGTAGTAATCTGCTTACACAACGTATGCCCCACACATAAAATTGCTCGATTCGTGACGTTTTGTTTTTTTCTTGATGTCACGCAAAATTTACACTTCATTCCTATTCCAAATCAATAGTGTAACTAAACATGGCGGCGGAACAGAATGTTCCACAACTTGGCGGATATGATTACGAATTTACAGGCAGAGTTCCGCATGACTATGAATGTCTTGTGTGTCACTTACCGATGAAGGATCCAGTACAGATCGTACAATGTGGGCACAAGCTTTGTAACATTTGTAAAGAATCGCTTTTTCGGTAATGGCTGAACAATGTTATTACTGTGGCACAAAGAATGCTAATTAAGCGGTAACTTTGGCTAAAGATTTGACCGAAGTTTGATCGACAGAATAATAAGTTGATACGCTTATTAGTTGGCAAATAATTATGACCTAAGTTTGTGCTCTAACGGAGATGTCCATGTAATTTAAGTGAGAAGACGCAATTTTTAACTTTAAATTTATTGGGTTCAACGTTTTTAGTAAGGCTTTCTTCTAGCGCACATTCATCACAATTCAGCCTATACTACCGTTCATCATAGGAATCACCTAGTTTTGATACTGTTATTTCTTTAGTTGAATCTTTTCATGGTTTCCTCTGCGTTTTTTTTCGTCAGACTTCCTTCGCCATTTTGTCCGGCAGACAGGCAGCCATTGTCACGCGAGCAGGTTAGTCAGCTGACATGGTTTCTACTTGAAAGGGGGTTTTGGATTGTTTTGGTTTGTTTTGCTCAATGAAAATTGCTCAATTTCTACCTTTCTACTTCTACCTCTTGAAAAGACCTTGAAATTTAGGACTTCCTGCCTGATATAATTAAATGATTTTGCTGAGGAATATTTGTTTACCACCTAAAAATAGCCTGCGAAAATGTCGGTTTTTAAAACGCGTTACGAAGCACAGTTTGGAGCTTTGCTTCAATTTCATGTACCAGGCCAGCGATGTGGGATTGTCCGCCTTGCGGTTTTGTTCAAAGGGTCAACGTGGCCAATTATGTGTAAACTTGTAGAATTGTGTTGAATTTCCCTTCGTTTACTGTTTGATGGAGAGATGAGCGAATTTGAATTCATTCGCAAGTTGTTTAGCGATGGAAACCTGCGTGAAAGAACTTGCCTTGCAGGTGACAAATATAAGGGTCTTTGTTGAGTTTATAACAAAATGGTCGACATAGAACGCATGTTATAAAGTGATTTAAAGTCTTTCATGAAAGGTGAAGAGCATGGAAGGAACCTCTGGTTGTATAGAAGCATATAGCAATGAATTTTTCGATCCTTCGTTTTTACGGGCAAATGACAATGTTAGCGACAACCTGTCTGCTAAAATTCTGGAGTAATCGCCAAAGCAGAAAAAAATATTGACTCCTAGCATTAATTCCTATGCTTAGAGAAAGGCAACGAAAGGAAAGCCATTAGAGGATTTAAAAGCTTGCTGAAATACGTTGCTGTGATTTTTATGAGCTATATATGTTCAGGCAGGCTTTGTATACTTAATTTACTTACACAATGCTTATATTTTTGAGTTAATTTTTTTAATTAAAAAAAAAAACATCTATGTTACCGCACGGAGAGTGGTATGTTACTCCCACCAATCAGATCGGCGCAGTAGGGTATGTATCTCGCACTAATCAGAGCGTCGTTTTTTTTCTTTGGTTTGAGAGGTGTTTAAATTTCAGCGAAGTAATGGGGGATTCGGAGAGAGCGATTCGTAAAATGGAATCATCTTTTAGAATGAGAAATGTTGGTTTTTCTGTGTTTTTAACGTGTATTTTACCGCGTTTTACGAGTAATGCGATACTACTGGACAGATGAAAGATATCAGATTACCTATAGTAACCGTGTCAATCGTGTTGTGAAAATAGTGGATAGTTGTTCGAAAGAAAATGGAGTTCTGTGCACTGTAGCACGATCATGGTTATTGCTCCTTCAGGACGAGAGTGAGTGGAAAAATTTTGAATCAAATTTTGATTGAAGTGTTGATGAATTGCACCAAACATTTTTTATTTGAATTTGATTGCGTAACGCTCGTTAAGTTGTAACATGACATGTTATCACAAACCAGACGAAAAAAATCTTTAGTCTACATTTTGTACCTAGTCTACATTTTGTATCCGGTCTGCAGTCTGCATTCAGCATTTTGTACTATCCGTGGCACCAATACAGTTTATTTTTGGTTACAATTATTCGCACAACACACAATCCACTACAAAATCCCTATTTGTGAGTTAATTCGACGTTTTCGTTCTTTTCCGCGTTAATACTCTTCTTTCCTTTTGTAAGAATGTAGATGTCATTTATAATGTTTCAAGTAATCCACCCACCCCCCAAAAATAACTCTTGCGTGCATAGCATGCCTATGTTTTTTGAATGAAGTAATGTTTCAAGCATTTCTCTTTGCGGCAGATATTTCCTGATACCGCCTGTCGTCGCAAAATCCTAGATCTGACGGTGAAATGTTTTCACTCTGGATGTCTATGGACAGGAGAGTTACGTGAAGTTGAGGTAAAACGCGAATGGCAAACTGAACACTTTTGAACTGTGTTCCATTATTCTTAATTACGTTATTAGACAATCTGATTATTTCCATTCTTGCTAACTCTTTTCCCCCCAAACGATTGACTCGGTGAAACAAAATCGGAGGCAATCAAACTGATATGTTGGATGGCCGAGTCACCATTTCATGTGTTGTATGTATTGTATTAACATTGTAATGTCTTTCGCTAAAAATCTCTCCTATTAGAGACCGCTGATAGATCTTAGTTTTGAAAATAGAAAGGGGAGCTCGCTGACTATTTTAATTCCTAGGCAACCTGTGTTTGTTATACAAGCTTTTCATGGCCCCCTTTCGTGTAGTGAACCCAAGAAAAAAAGTTACCGTTCCGAGTATTCAAATTGCCTCAATAATTTGTTCATCTAGAAACCTCATCAGTTACTTGCTTTTTTCACTTTTCTACCCATTTCATGACTTTGACTTGTATACTATTAATATATGAGTTCCAACAACCTGCAGGAACATCAATCAAACTGCCTGTTAAAAGTGGTACAGTGTCCAAACTCAAGATGTACAGAGAAAGTCACTAGGCAGGACATGGGGAACCACATGGCATCTGAATGTTCTTGGAGGATAATATATTGTGGATATTGTCAAAAATTAATTGTCTTTAATCAACAAAAGGTATGCAGATATCATGCATCATTTGAATGAAAGGGAAGTTTACTCCATGGGTTGGCTATTTTTTTCTGTCCTTGAAAAATTCTCTCGAAATTATTTCCATGACTTCTTATAAATTTCACCGTTTCTTTGTACCTGTACTGAGTGATTAGCTTACACAGTAAAATATGCAGTAGTGTTCTAAAGACATTTTTTATTATTTTCAGTGTTAGAAATGTACGGTGGCCCAAAAGGCTCAAACACGAACTAAAAAGAAAACGCAACTACCAAAAATAAAACTCAACTAATAAGAAGAAAATACAACCAGCAAAGGTGAAACGCAACGAAAAACAAAAAAAAGCCAAGTAAAAGTAGAAACCGCAAATAATATTAAGAGAAACATGCAGACGCTGGGTTCTAGTTAGTAATAGTCTGAGGTGATGGGGGCTTGGCAAGAATGGATTCACATTTTGAGATGAAGTTTACATTATTACCAACTGCCTTTTCTCCGCACTCGCTACAGACATGGCGGGTAGTCGGAGAGACCGAACGATTGGAATACTAGATCCCAGCCCCTGCATGTTTCTCCTATTATTTGCGTTTTTTTATTTGCGCCTTCTCTTTTAGTTGCATTTTCTTTTTTGTTTGTGTTTGAGCCTTCTGGGCAATCGTGGAAATGTAAGGGTACATTCAAACATTTTATCTGGTGTTTTACAGAAACATTTCGATATCTGCCAAAAGTTCCCTGTTCATTGTACCAACAAGTGTGGCTTAGAAGAGATTCCACGAGGAAAGGTCTGTTTTAACAGAAACCACTCATCAAGTTTTGGAAAAGGACACTTTCATTTACTTGACACAAACGTTTACTAGGATTTTGCACAATCGTCAAGTAATTTTTGAGAGACACGTCATCTCTTACGTAACTCAGCAACTTGAACAGAGTCATAGTAAGCGACAAGTGGCTTTGACAATAAGCTTCATATGGCATAGAGAATCTGCTTGAAAAACGGTTAGATATTCTTTTGCTAAAATAGACGTTGGGTCTGTGTTAATGCGAGATTAAAAGGAGGCCGGCTGGTTATCTTTGGCATTACATAGGAACACCGTAATCAGTCTCTTATTTATGCCTTTGTTTATAGCTGGAATTTCATATTGGCGAGGATTGTCCTGCAACTGAGGTTTATTGCGAATTCAAGAAATTGGGATGCGACGTTAAGGTATAGGCTTTCTTAAAACAATTACGTTAATATAGAGACCCTTACGACACTTGGCACAGGTGATTTGGCTGTTTAAAGTTTCGTTGCTTATCATAAAATGTGTCGCCTTTCACGGAATTTATTAGGTAGTTAGAGGAAAACTTTTAAGGTGGAGAAAATTCACCTAAACTTTCGCTTTGTTATGAAGGTAAGAAAAATTATGATGCAGGCACAGCTTTTGAACGGAACTGTATGGCCAATTTGATTGGTTTTCACTAGAGATTTGGGAAGGCAATTGAATAGCTAGTCAGACGAATAACTAGAAATGCAGGGATCAGTTGTGCAATTGATATTATGCCAGCTCTCCGTAAAGTTCTGAGTTTAATACGAGTTGTTACAACTGTTGTCCTTAATGCCGCATTTCTTCTCATTCACACAGTTCCCAAGATCAAACACCAAAGCTCATTTGGAGACACACATTGAACAACACTTGAACTTGGCCCTTCGCAGCCTTGAGACCACTCAGCGTCAGGTTAAGGATCAGTCACAGCAGATTGAACAACTGATGGCCAAAGATAAAGATTTGTCACAGCAGATTGAACGACTGACTGCTCAGGTCAAAGTTCAAGATCAACATATTAAGCTCCTGAATAGTCCTCCATTTGTGTGGAAAATTTCAAATTTCCAGGCTGCTTATGAGAAAGCATTGAGTGGAAAGGAAAACATTTTAACAAGTACATTTTATCTTTCTTCAAACGGGTACAGACTGAGAATCCAAATTTTCTCTAATGCCTATAGGATGAGGTGGTTCCCAGACGATTTTTTGTCTAGTACAACATACTTTTCTTTCTATATTTGTGTTATTCCAGGAGAATTTGATCCGCTATTATCCTGGCCATTCAAGGAAAAGTTGCGAGTGACGTTGATCAATCAAAACCCGTGCGAGGATAAGGAGAAAGATATATGGCGCGTAACTGACTTTGGAAGAGTAGATTTGCCCATAATGAGGCCTCTTACTGAAGATAACCAAAGTTGCCATGGCGTGCTTGGCCCCATTCGTGCCGACACGTTACAATCTGCATCTTTCACACTGAACGATACAATTTTCATAATGGTGAAAAAAGAGTAATATCATGTACTGGAACTGACTAATCAAACTCTTAGGGTTTTATTTTGGCGATTCCCTTGTAAAGCATTACCCATCCTCACTGAAGATATAGTTGCCACTCATTAGTTGTGCTCAAATTATCAAAACAGCAGATTTTACCTTAACTAGAGCTGACCGGCAAGGTAAATCGTTATTTCCTCTTTTCCGAGCTCGTTCACTTCCCTTTATGAGTTATTTAAAATGATGATAATTATTAAATATACTACGTCGTCCAAAGCTGTGTTTCTCACACCAATCGGATTTAGTGGAGTATGTTGCACGCCCTTATCTGATTACACAGAATGCATTCCTTGCAGTAATGAGTTTTGCTAGAGTATGCTGTTCGCACCAATCAGATTGTGTCAGGTATGATGCTTGCACTTGGCAGATTTGCTAAGGTATGTTACTGGCACCAAACAGATTGCGCCGGGTATGTTACTCACACCAATGAGATTGTGCTGGGTATGTTGCGTGAACCAAAGAGATTGCCCCGGGTATATTACTTGCACCAGATTGTGCTAGGCATATTTCCCGCACCAATCAGATTGAGTCAGGTTTAACGCTCGCACCAATCAGATTGTGCTGGGTATGTTGCTCGCACCAATCTGATTGCATTGGGTATGTTTCTTGCACCAGACAGATTCGTCATTGAACATATGTTGTTGGCACTAATCAAGTTACCATAGTACTTTCTGCACTCGACTGCGATATTGAATACCGTTTCTTTCAATTGGAAGTTGCATGATTTACTTCTTTCATCTAGACAGGTTTTTCCCATTCCAGGTACTTATTCTCTCGTCTCTATTTTTATTGGCGTTACCTTTTACTTGACTTCTTCAGTATAAAACTGAAAACTTAACCAAATAATCCTACCCCACTTAAAATGTTACCATGGATTAAAATGTTAACATGGATACTGTTTGTCAATTTTCCACGCAGTCCTCACCTACTTTAACTTTTTCTACCAATCAAATTTTCTTTTAGGTACCTTACACTTTGCCCCATCATGTGACTATTTCTTGTAAAGAGCCTGTATCTTGTCACGCACTTAACACGCAGAGGGCAAAGTCCAGATGAGAAGCATGCAATCAAAAAGCTCGCGTAGTTATGCAATCGTGAGAGCCTATGAAATAAGATCCTTCTCTCTTCTCTCCATGTCTTTTCAGTAACGCGGAGATCGCAACGAAACTCTGACAAATGTTTAAAGGGGATGAAATACAATTTGGGTTCGCTGTTACCAGCAAAATTATAAGTAGTATTTATGTAGCAAACAACTGCATGTAACGATGTGTTTTTATGATGACACTGGTAAAGGAACGGCAGTTAGTGAAGCACCAATGCAAGTTATTTTCAGATAGTAACTCAGATAACAGAGACGATAGGCCACAAACCAACTTTCTCCGAGCTTATTTCAGATTAATTGAAGGTTTTCTACTTTCTGTTGAAATAAAGTATCGAGTATTATTCATTAGAATCTTTGGTAAGCATCAGTTACACAGGGACATCCCATCCCATCCCAACCCACCCATCCCCAGACTTAACTTTTGCATGCATGCAAATTCCCTACTGCTGCACGAGAAATTTATCACAAGACGAAAAAAAATTGGAGAAAAGAAGTTTTCTTTAAATGAATGACGCCATAGAACTTTACATTTGGAGCCAGGGAAGTGTTTAAAGAACGAAGAAGAGTTACTGCTGGCGTGCGGTGATTGGAAATCAGCGAATGGATACACCACCGGGTATCGCCTTTTTTTCAGTCTGGGAGGTAGAAAACCTAAGGCATGCTTGTTGTCTCTTCAGTTTCCTGTATTTCTTACACTGAAGTGGGCACTCAACTGGTTCATCTCTGCAGTTATTTTGGGTTCCCAGAAACTGTGTTTATTCATTCTCCAATTCATTACGCTGTTGGTGTTTTAATGATATGAGTAAGTCTGAGTACAATTAAAACTTGTTTCTTTTGTTTAATGTCGTTGTTGAATTCTCACTCTTGCCTATTTTAACTACTTCATTTACATTTCTCCCTAGCGAAGAGGGACTATTTAGCACACCAGTATATACAGTTCATTTGCTCAGAGAGAGTTATTTGAGGTAAAATCCTAGGAAGTCAAAAATTTTGTTTTCCACACTCTGGAAAAAAGCCTGAATCATATCAGGAACTACTCTCGGTCAAACGAAAGTAACACAAGAAAAGATCTTAATAGTATTTATGCGATTTGAGGCAATGATCTTCCAAGGCACCCTTGAAGGCATTTTAGAACACATCAGCCAATGGAAACTATCACTTTCGTTATCCTATTCTTTAACTTATATTAGGGAATCCCTTTCTTTTGTGTACAAAGTACTTCAAGTCAAATGGGTACCTCCTTAAGCGGAGTAGCATAGAATTACACCCATCCTCAAGGCAACACGGGAGTGACTGGAGGACACTCTTCAAAATACAAAGTTGATAGTCCATCTACTTTTTTCGCCAAAATTGTCAGTTCTTCGTATTCGCTCGGAGGAACAATGTCAGGTTTTTTCGCTGAGTGAGAACTAGGGAATAATTAAAAGCATTCTACTTTCGGGAGGAAATAAGGGCGTTAAGAAAGAACTACTTTCCCTTCCTTTCCCCGCTCTGAGCATCCTGAATCTCAAATGCGAACAATAATTTCATGTCGGAACAATATTTTACGTATGGATCAAATAAATAAACCATAGGGGAGTTTGAAATTTTCTTCCCGTGATGGAAATATTCGTGTAGCATTAAAAATATTTAGCGCCTCGTTTGCGTGACCGAAACGTTTAAAACTGAATTTTTTTTGTCAGTACATTGCTGTGAAAATAATCTCAGATTTCGTAAGATCAATGTTGAGTTTTTAGGAATTGTAAGAAGAGTACGCTCTTCTCTGATACAGCGAAGAGATGTCAAAAAGTAGATTTCAAAACATATTTACAAACGTCGTTCTTTCAACCGTAGGCTATGATATGCGATTATCAAGGTGCACAATGGAATGTTTCCTTCCATTACTGTTCAGGAAACTCCTAACTAGAGCACGGACATGTGCCCTAATAAGGGTTCCACTGTATATTATATCTTTTCAGGCAAGATTAAATGTCGCGTCATTTCATGACAGTTCTTTACAACTTATGTCCACCCCTCAGAGTGACCTGCCCAATTCCTTCCCTCTCTCAAATAGGAAAATTTACTTTCACAAATTGGTTGTTTTGTTTCCTATTTCCGTTTTCAAGTTTTCCGCGAAATCTATTCGGAGAACGTTCGCCAGATGTTTGAAAGTTAATCAGTTTGGCGATTACACCAATCTAACTACCATTAAAATGCTCAAACATAATACTGCGTATATTTCACAAATGCATAACGAACGGCGCACATGATCAAACGTTGTTACTAAAAGGCCTTTATAAAGGGGCTACCGCAATTGGTACTGACACAGCACCCGAGGAATACACTGGATACCCCAGAGGTGGGTCCGCAGCTTGGATGGTCAGATTCCTGAGGAGTGTGGGATGAGCCTGGATGCTATACCTCTCCTCGTCATCGTTGGTGAAGTACAGTAGTTCTAAAGCTAGCGAGGCCCACTGGCCTCGCACGCATTCTCCATTAAGGCGCCCGACTGGGGCCATTATCTCTTGCTTGGTGAGAACACGGCTAGTGTATGTGCCCTGAAGAGATACAATAAAGGAAGAGCTTATTAGTTGAACTGTAGCGAATGCACTGGAATGTAATAATACATGCAAGAAGAGTGTTCACAAAGCTAAGTATTTCCAATTTATTACCTTGCTTTTGTCTCGACCCAGCGAGAACAGGAACGGCTTTTCATCCATGATAGACAACTGCCACTCGTGGCCTATCTCACTGCCTAGGTACCAGTCCCTATCATACTCTGTCATGTATTCCACAAGTTCATCTTCACTTGTCACTTCTCCAAGAACAGCTTCGTCGTAAGTTAACTTGAAAGCATATCTGCAATGAAGTAAAGTCAAAGTGGGATCAATGATCATGGACCTTTGAAATACTAATTTCGTGGAAGTTTCTCCTAGCGGTAAATAGGGAAATGCTGAGCAACGCAGAAACGAGATTTGAGTTCCAGTCGGTCTTATTCGTTAATTTTCTCAAAAGTAGCTTCGGTAGTTGGCAATGTTAGAATCTCTAAGGAAAGCATGGCGTTATAATTTTCCTTATTGACTTTGTTGTTGATTAATACACGAGAAGATCAACTGGAGTAGATCGGTAGCTTCGGTAGTTGGCAATGTTAGAATCTCCAAGGTAGGAACTTTACTAACGTTTGGTGTTGAAGAGCATAGCATTATAATTTTCCTTACTGATTTTGTTGTTGATTAATACACGAGAAGAACCATTGGTTGATATATGATAAAGACAGAAAACCGACATTGATAACGTTTTGATCGCTGAACAAAAAGAAACCAATTATGGACAGAATATGCTGGAAAAACCTTGGGTATATTATAATCAGCTGTGATCTCAAGTATACTGGAGAGCAATTACCAAAATCTGTCACGCACGTTTGTAGTGCACTGTACACCCCTTCTCTGTTCCCGAGATTACACATCTTGTACAAAAAGGAGAGAGGATTTCAGATGGAATGCAACACATCAATAATATTCAGCTTCATCTTTCATACCTGTACGCCTTCAAGATCAGCGATTTAAGCTCCGTCTCTTTTTCCAGCCAATCAACATGTATTGACCAAGGCACGTCGCCAGCGTACACTTTGTGCACGTGACCAGGTCCAGCAGCTACAGCAGACGATCCTGGGAATCCAAGTACCTCCACCATAGCGTAACACGCGCGTGTCAACTGACGGTAGAAGCTTATCAGAGTTGAATCGCCAAGGATACTTTCTGCAATGCCCTTGCTGTTGTTTCCAAAGTTTAAACCCTTCACAACGTGTCTGAACCAGAAATCGGGAAATTTTTCTGATAAAGAGTCTAAATTATGTTTGTCTACTGGGATGGAAAACTTCCAATGATGTGGCAAATCAAGTCTATGGGCATGCTCTGATGTAAAAGTAACTGGCTTCATATAATCGCTTGCGCCTGCTTTAGCATCCCTCTTGGTAGCTCCATAGCTAAGAACGTCATAATTGAAATCACTAAAAACTGGATCGACTTTTTTAAGGAGCTTTTCGCTTAAGCCTTTATTTTTCGATGCGCTTGCCTGTCCAATATCCAGTGCTGGAAAACCACCTAGATTGAAAGATTCGTCGAGATCATCAATCCCTTCGTCTTTGACGTGAAGACCACCAACGCTCCCTGACTGCTTGCGTTTTCTATCGCTCGTCTGACTTTCATCCAGTTTCAAGCTTTCCTGAGACCATACACTATCGCTAAGACTGGGCAAAGAGCTGCTTCGTCGTCTCTTGGGTGATTTAACTCTCGTTGTTGGTTCTTGATAATCTGTTGAACTCATGAAAACATTTGGAATGTCCAAATCATCCTGACTTGTTTGTCTGACTAGTAAAGCTTCCTTGGGTTTTGGAGCAGGTAAAACCTCTACTGACATCATGACCTCTTGCTTTGCAATGTCAATGGATACTTGATGTGAGGTTTGTTCCGGGATTTCAAACTTTCGATCTTTACAATAATTCACCAAAACCCAGACAAGAGTCTTCAAGAAATTTTCCGAATTCCTCCGTAAATTTTCTGGCTGATCAATTACACCAGTCAGTACATTCTTCGCGTCTGAGTAAGTATTGAGGATCAATGTGTCACACGGGCAAAGAACGTTTGCTACGTGTTGGTTCAATGAAACCAGTGGCCATTTTCCCTCATGCACAAAAATATCCTGAAACACGTCATCTACACGCGTGGCTTCCACAGTGTGGCATGAGGTCTCCTGCAGCTCAAGGCCTTTCAATACCGTAGTGCAAAATTTGTAACCACACTCAAGCACGTGGACCCAAATCAAACGGTCCTGAAAACGCACCAAGTAATGGTCCCCTGGTGATGGATTACCCAGAGTGCCCATAGCCATGGTAACACCAAGAGTTGACACTACCTGAGGTGTCAGTTGTTTGTAAAACACGGAGTCAGGGCAGGTTGCTGCAGCCGTGCTGGCAGCCTTGGGCCAGGACCGCAATGGCCGCGGAAAGCCCACCAAGAATACAGGAAGACAGAAGAGTGGTAGCAATGGAGTGGCTAAAATTGTTGCAGCCCCCAGTACAGCTAGTACCACAGGCAGTAATATGACGAGTGCAAGAAGGATAGGTACTGTTGCCTTGTGGTGCTGTTTGGGAAGTGTCCACGCTGTGACAGTGAGGGTCAGCATGTAGGATACCTTATTTAGTAGCTGCTGTAGTCTGTCCCTGCAGGCTCCCACCAGCATCAGCTGTAGTCCAAGACCTGCAGTACCCCACCAGGTAGCCACATCTGACCCCAGAGCCGTCGCAGTCAGATAAACGACGGATATTTCCAGCAAAGAATTAAACGTGTTTTGCCAGACCTGTATAAAAATAATTTTTCATGAGTGAAAAAGTATAAGTAACTTTGATTAAGCATTTGACAACTTCTAAACAAGATTCATGAAGTGAGATCAATATGACGGTCATTAGCACGTACTTGCCTGGATTTATTTCTGTACAAGAATAAGAGTCCCAACGCCGTAGAAAGTACGAGAGAGGCATTCAAATTTAAAGTAACAGTCAGCTTTATTACCTGTCGAAGAGCCCTGACAGTTCCAATGGCCACAGCAAAGTTTGAAACAGTTGCCCTCTCTAGAGCAAGGAACAAGCTGAGAAAGGCAACTTGAAGCAAAGGTACAACTGAAACAAACATGCCAAAAAATTGGTATAAGAATTTGCTTATTAATAATTACAGTGTAACATATGATTCATGCAATTACTAATTACAAGTCAATAAGGTTGACAATATTCTCATTCGTTGTAGTACTCACCCATGACTACAGCCTTAGTTTATAAAAGACTAGACATAAAAGCAGATCCAATCTCATAAATCTGAATTCCCAATCGTGAGTCATCAGAGTTGCTTCATTTTCTTTCTACTTAACCCTCAACTTGCACTACAATTTTGTTAACACTGCACAAATATTATTCAAGGACTTAAATGTACCTAGCTGTGTAATGACTCAAGTCTAACCAGAAACAGCAACCATTCACAATACCACAGCTTACACTGTATCCCATTTCCAGAAGTATGATACTGATATGGTCTAAACAAATGTAGCATACATGTAAATGTGGCCCACACCCCTTTCTCTTTCTCAGCAGAATTTTGCCAGTTGTCAAGTCATCCATTCATACAGGCAAGTTAGTTGTTCCGCCAAAGAAACCAACACTATGCCTCAGCCGACAAAGCATGTTTCAGACATGTCCTAGCTACATGTAGCTTGAAACAAAGAGAAAAAGAACCTACTCACCATAACAAAGCAGTGCTTGGCGCAGAAGACCAATGTATTTCAGAATATTTTTTCTTTTCTTAAACTCTCTAGATGACTCAATACTTGCTGGATAAAATGGATTTCTGAGCAAACCAAAAAAAATGCTCACAGATTGTATATCTCCCAGAACTTTAACAAGAACCAAGAGCACCACAAACAAAACACCAAAGGCATCAAATATCTTCAGGCTTGCATCTGATGAGAAATGGCTGGAAACTGCTGCCAAAGCCCCTGTTATTGCCAACATTACTACAAAAATCAATATTTCTCTCATTTTCCATTCTGCCACTATTGGCTTCAAGGTTTTTCCTTGATTTATTTTGACCCATACTTGAAGAACAAGACCAAAGATGTCTATACTGAGGATGAAGCCAAAACAAGCTGACACTATAAGAATGGCAGTAGAATTTGAAATAAAAGTTGCCATGACAACCACAAGACTTGAGATGATAAACATCACCAGTAATCTGAAAGAAAAACAAAGGGCACTTGCAACTTGAAGAGCATTGCACAAGGTTGGATCTTGTACAGCAAATAAATAACTTATTAGAAAAGGAGTTTTATACTAATTATCTAGGAGAATGGGACGACAAGCTAGACATAAGAAACTCCTCCACAAGTGGATCAGAGGACAATGATACAGAGTAATTAGACAGTTACTTTTCCAATGTGGAAGGACTGGTATACAATATCCTTAAACTTTGTTGTGTAGGCTTGTTACGCCAATTACATGTAATTTGATCAATATGATTCATTGTTAGTACCTTCAGTGCTGTTTTCTGTTATGGAAAGGTAAATCAAGTGCATAAAAAAAACACAACCCCTCAGAAATGGCTGCAGAATTTTATGCAGCCCCTTATTGTCAGATACACAAAAAGGTCCTACAGTGTAGGACCTGTTTCTCCAAGTTCAGGCAACTTAACTGGTCTTTGAAGCTTCTGTCTTCAACTAAGATGGGGATTTCAAAAGTTTTGAAATTTATACAATAAAACTGTTAGCTGAAGAAACAAACTGGAGTAGTGATGGTGCCAGAGCCTACTTCTCTATTGCTTAAAACTTGATTTTAAAATGTGGCTTTAGGCCCATTAAGTTACAGGAAGTTTTGAAAACAGATCCCAGGTCACTTAGCCGAAATCTGATCAGACTTTTAGAGAAAACCTACAGTGTATCAACACCTATCAAACATGAATCTCACTCTATATAACCAACCTCAAATCAGTTGCTAATGGGGAGCCACCAAGAACAAGCACCAGTGCCTGCTCTGCCAACCATGGAAACAGTGCATCCAGAGGAGGCAAGATACCCAGAATCCATAGCAAGGGCAGAAAAGGAAACAAGATATGTAGTACCTTGTCTATTGCCACTAACTCGGAGTAATGTCTGAAAATTTGAAAAAAATAATAAAAATAAATGAAACAACATTTTACAATATAACAATTCTCAAATATTTATGATTGTGAAATTTATTGCTAACAAGGGAAGAGGTCGTGACTTGAAAAGAGATTTGCCTCTTCTCATAGTGGTCCTAGTTCTTTAACCCTTTTACCTCTAAGAGTGACCAGCATCTTATTTCTCCTTACAATATCACCCTTTAATTTCACATTAAGGTCATGAGAATAAAGGAAATGATTGCAAACTTAAGTAGTTCTTCCTTGTTAAACAACTTCTCCTTGCCAACACTGTAGAAAATGTATAGAGAACAGTATTGAAAACCTGCATTATGATGTTAGGATGTGAGGGTTAAGCATTATGAGATACGGAAATTCCTATTTAATAGTGTATTTCTAATAAGTTTAAAACTTTATTACAGTGCTGCATGATGTTTAAAGTGTCACTTCACACAATTAATTTGAATTCAATTTTGTCACATCCCAATTCAACCAACTGATTTATTAGTGTTTTCCTACAATGTACTGTATCTTATTCCCACATTTCAAGTTCTTGATACACAAGCTGCAGCACTCTCTGACTATAAAAAAAAGTATGACAGCAAAAGAAAAAACAATCAAACATTCATTTCTGTCATATTGAATGGATTACTTATACTTTCAGAACTCTCTGAGATAGTAACAACTGTACAAAACCTCTTGGCTGCATCTCGGGCTAGCAAAATTTGTTGAGAATTCTGCCAGCCTTCCAAATCTTTAGACAGGCTATGTGCCTGGGTGTGTGTACATGATGACCAAATTGCCAAGTTGGAACACAAGTGCAAATAACAAATAGTGCGTGCAGTGCAAAAGTTTCAACTGTCTTGACTTACGGTGATGTGTTTTTCATGTTAATTATTACCACATACCACAACATGATTTCTCATGCAATATAGTGTCACTAAAAACTAGTAAATTTTTCAAAGACTACAAATTGCACTCACCCTAGGGGCATGTGCAATTTTCTTGTCTTTGAGAAATTCACCCACGCTTATTAACTCCAAATTGTACTCATAATAATGTTGTTACCTATATTAAAATATTTCTCAAAAAAATTGTTGCAATTCCCGCAAGTTTAAAACTGGTTAACATTACCCTCATCCAAACACACCTCTCGACGAATGAGAGCATACGTATATATGTAGCTAATGTCTCAGTTACCTTAAATACAATGCTACATCAAGCAAATTAACAGATCAAGTGACATTCAATACCTTGCCAAAACTCCAATGATTCCAAATATCACCACATAAAATGGTCTCATCAGTGGAGCGATTTCAAATGTGTCCAGAGCTCTAAAAATAGCCAACTCGGGCGGGCATGAAGAACTCAAAGAGAACTGAGAAATACACACGGTTAACCATCCTAGAGTGTAAAGAACCACTGTAGCACCCGTGTTTGAAAACAACCCAGCCAGGTTCGCCGGTAAAAGATACAAAAACATTAAACTACATACAACTCCAGATATCACCGCATGGGTAATCATGTTTACAACAAATCTCTTTGCGGGAAAAGTAAACTCCACAGTTTCGACACCGCAACATGAAACGAAGTCAATCTCGTCGTCTTGAGACAAGAGGTTCTTTTGAAATTTAGCGAGACTCGTCGCATTTCGACGCATTAACCAGCTGAAAAGCTGTGTACTTATTACAAATACGACCACAAGGCCTCCATAAATATAAGCATTCGTGTACACATCAGTTATGATTTTGAACTCAGCAAGAAGTGTAAAAATCCCTCCAAAAATGAGAGGTACCAAGAACACCAATACTTGATTCAAGTAAACGTAGAATGGTGCATCGTATCCGAGTTTTAGCTTCAATCCACCGAGCAGCGTTTGCGGGAAACGCTTCCAGAAGAATTCAAGTTTGTAGTCGTTCAGCAAAGGCGCCCCAGCACCTTCCATAGAGCCCATCACATTCAATAGTCGTACGAAATGTTACCGCATTGACCGAAGACGTTTGATCAATAACAAAGCGTGTTCTTATCCAGTGTTTATCACATAAGGATCTCAGTCAGTTTGTCTTGTAGCATTCCAAATGTTAAACACTTGTAAGCTAAGATTTTAGTAGATTCTCCGGTGCATTCAAGATCTGTCATTACTGTCTTTGGGCTATGAAATCTTCGATGTTACATGAAGCTCCCTGAAGAAATGGGGAAGTAAACCTTGTTGATGGCGCCTTTGTGTTTTCGCATCGGATTCGATCCAAGATAAAAAACCACAACGTGAAGGATTTCTGTGCAATAAATTATTTCATGACGAAATATCTGGCCTATTTACTGAGTTTTCCAAATCATCTCGATTAAAACAATTCTGCATTAATTTCTTTGCAAAATTAGTTGATGTTGACGTCAAGGCAACCGTGGATACCTGATTGGTTCCCGACCTAAAGTAAATTCCATCTCACTAGGGTAGGGTTGGTGGAATTACTGCGCCCTGAAAGTCCCAGCCGGGATAGAAGACTTTGGGTTGAGACTATTCGAATAACAGGTAGTAATGTTTTTTAATTGATTTTTGCTCGAGTCTTTTTTTTTTCTTTTTTTGTTTCTGACTTGTATTTCAAAAGGAAATAAGAAAGTCCTAACTCCAAAGCATTTCTGATATGTAAAAAAATTAAAAAATGGATTGAGCACTCAGAAGAGTCGAGTGAAAGACCTATTGGGAACAATGAAGCCATAACTATCCTCGTCCCGTCCTGCCATATTATTTACTACATGCACCATCTGTTCTAAACCACCGCTCTTTATTGTATAACTTTAAACAAATAAATAGTTGGTAAAAAATAAATTTGTGATAAATTGATTGAACTGCCTACATATATGAATGGTTTGTGATGGTAGACCCTCTCTCTTACTCCAGGTTGGGAAGGTGGAAGAGCCACTGATACAAAACTGTAACGCTCACATCTGGATGGCCACACTGCTTGATAATTGCAAATTATTTAACAATCTATTTACCATGTTTATCACCTTTCCTCCCAACAGTGGCAAATGAAAAGTTGGAAAATAAAATCAGTTTAAAAGGACACAAACCAATGTTATGGGATCTAAGCACAGAGTAGAGAAAATCCTGAACTCATAACACTGCAATCATTAACACAGTCTACAAACAAAGACAACTAGTTCACATCACTAGTTCAACATCAATTCTGGTAACAAGGAGGAAAGTTAAATAAGCTTTGAGGGATATTTTCTTCCCACACATGGATGAAATAAGACTTGCTGAATAAAGCAACAAAAATAAAATCCGTATATCCCTCACATTTCCCACACCTTTCCATTACAATGATCGTCACTTTTTCCCTTATTGATTGTGCCATGGTGAAATCCAGCCTGTATGTTACAATAACATAGTAAACATACTACAACTACTAGTTGCTCCTTGCTGGAAAATTTTGTTGCCAATCAGATATTGGGGTTAAAATTGCCATTAGAGAGCTTACCCAGCATGACTAAAGAGTTCAATAAAAAAAAAAATTCCCTTTATACATTTTGACATAGGGGTCCTCCTTTGCTATATACAGGGTCTATACAGTTTTGAGCTGTTACAACTCCATGACTTTCCATGACTTCCCAAAAACTTCAATAATCTAAGTTAGGTAAGTGTACCAATAAGTTCATTCCAAATGGCTCACAAATTTGCATAGATGTCAAACAAGAATACCCACAAGGGTAGATCTTCTGCCAATATTTATTTATACTGAAATTAAATCTTGTTTCTTGAATTTTTTGTTTAAAATTTGGGTCTATGTTGCTTTGCACTCATAGCAAACCAGCCAATTTTCCATAATTTTCCAGGAGCCAAACCACGACTTTTCAGGCCTGGAAAATGAAATTATAAAAATTCCATGACTTTCCAGGTTTTATGGGACCTGTACGAACCCTGTACAGAAAGGAATTCCCTAAATAAGAGTTCTACGCTGTATTTAAGTTATTTTCAATATTAATAGTTACAAATTGAGCTAATATCACTACGAAAACTTTGTCTTACAACTTCATACTATTAGGGTCATGATACCTTGTTTGGAACTACAACTACTGATGAATAACAGTTTCGTATCAGTAAACTAGTTACTGTAGAAAAATTGAGCTCTGAAAATTTTCTGATGCATAAAAAATATTATCTAGATATTTAAGAACCCTATCAATGTGGGTTCATGCAGGAACACATGTACAAAGTTTACACTCAAATGTATGCCTAATTCAGCACTTTCCCCTTGATATAAACTGGAATAAACAGCATCTTTACAAGCTCATTGAAGATATATCCATTTTTCAACTTAATGTGGTTTTGTTTGTATCCTCAGACATACCCTAAGTTATATTGAAAGGTGTCTCCCTTTACAAACATGTTTACAACATTGAAAACAAAAGAGTGTACTTAATCATGAAGCCTAATTCATTCAATAATCAAAGCTACATTGAAAAGTCTATACTACACCATATACTTTAGCTACAAGTACAGCATGCTGATGAGATTAAAAAAAAAAAAAAAAAAAAAGATGTTAACAGTTTTTGACATTGCAGGGTAGTGGACAGTTGCACTGGTTGTGTGACTACAAACATTCAGTGCTCTCCAAATAATTGCAAATTGTAGTTCAGAAACAGTTATAAAAGTTCAAAATTTGTTTGGCATGTTCTCTACACTTTGTTTGACAACATTTCCATTTAGTAATTCAGCAGCTTTTTGAAGATCTAAGCTGTTTCCTCCTTCTAAAGATGCTAATCTCTCAGCTGCCATTCTTTCAACATATTCCCTTTCTTTCCGTTCTTGCTCTTCCTCTTCTCTTTCCTAAAAGAAAAATAGCTCTAAGTTACATTATTTCAGTACTTGACCCCTTCATACCCAAAGTATTTCTAGACTATAGGTAGCTATTAACTATTTTACTTCCAAGACCTCATTACTAATTCTCCTTACTACATGGCATACAATTCTTACGAGGTTACTATGGGGAACTTGGTATTGGATTAACTAAGAAAAAATTTTTTTCTTTACTTACATCACTTGTTGGAGATATTGTCAGGAGAAATGTTGTCTTCATCAATCATGGGAAATTAAGGGTTACCTGAGTGGGAGGGCTAGATGGGAAAACATTTTGGTTTGAGGTCATAATGTATGGAATGGGCACAGCAAGTTCCATGCATCATGACCCAGAGCCAAATATTTTCAAGTCCAGACTGACCTAACTCAGTCAATACACATTTTAAAACATGACTCTCATTGTTCCTATTTCTTCCTTTCTTCTTTCAGCTTGTAGCTCACAAGGCCATAGGGCTTTACAAGGCCATAGGGCTTTACAAGGCCATAGGGCTTTACAAGGCCATAGGGCTTTACAGGGCCATAGGGCTTTACAGGGCCATAGGGCTTTACAGGGCCATAGGGCTTTACAGGGCCATAGGGCTTTACAGGGCCATAGGGCTTTACAGGGTCATAGGGCTTTACAAGGCCATAGGGCTTTACAAGGCCATAGGGCTTTACAAGGCCATAGGGCTTTACAAGGCCATAGGGCTTTACAAGGCCATAGGGCTTTACAAGGCCATAGGGCTTTACAAGGCCATAGGGCTTTACAAGGCCATAGGGCTTTACAAGGCCATAGGGCTTTACAGGGCCATAGGGCTTTACAGGGTCATAGGGCTTTACAGGGCCATAGGGCTTTACAAGGCCCTGCTCACATTATTGTGTTATCATAATTAGAGTTTTGTCTCTGGTTTCCTACAATAAAAGCATGTGTGGGTTATATGGGTCATATAATAATCAAAAGTATGTGCCTACAGTTTCATGGAATAAAGCAGCAGATTTAATAACAAATTCTTGCCAAAAAAGCTAAGTAAAATTTCTTTGCTCAAGGACAACCTTAATCAAATAAAAACATCAAAATAGGTCACAAAAGTAGGAACTCTAAAAATCATAATAACTCGATGGAAAATTAAAACTTTGTAAAAAATATTACACCAAAACAGAAAATTTTTTGGAGACCATTTAAAATTGAAAGTGGGGATTAATTTCTGAGGCTTCATTAATGAAACAAGGTCAATCTTAACCCCTTAACTCCCATAAATGACCAAGACAGAATTTCTCCTTATGATACCAATCCAATATCAAGAAGACAAGTGGTGAGAATGAATAAAAATGTAAATTAAAGGATTAATACATGTAGTTGATCCAGTAACAAATTCTCCAAACTAACATCATAAGAAATGTATGGCAGACAGTAAAGATTTATGATTCCATGATTCATCTCCTTGTTTACTAAAAACCAATGGGGTAGCATTAAAGATGGGCTCTGAATGGCTACTAAAACACTGAACAACCTTTGCTATTCACCTCCAAGTAACTCGCACTGGATTTGCACCCAGAAATAAGGTAATTGTTGCAAGAACAAATAAGCCAAATCATCTTTGGGTGCAATATACTAAAACAAATATTTAACTTAGTGTCAGTGGCTAGTGTTAGATATTCACCTCACCCCTTCTCTGCATGGTAAATATTCACCTCTAGCCATCTCCACTGTGGTGAATAGTTACTTAATATATACCAATGTACAACTGACCTGCTCCTTGAGTCTATAAAATTCATCAATAACATATTGATATCTTGGTGTGGTAATTCCAAAGAAAGCTGCCAGCTTTTCTCCTAGATATTCAGCCACTAAAGATAGCAAAAAAAAAAGGAAAGAATAAGGGAAAAATATTATGAATCAGTAATATTATAAGACAGGTGAACTGAATTGACAACTGCTAATAACAGCAGAGCTCTCAGAGCGCAGCCCCATAATTATACAAAATGGTAGTGGTAACCCATCAAGCCAAAAAAATTTGGACTTGTGACCGTACAACTGTACGACCGACCATACAAGGTGCTTCTTTTAACATGCACGGTCAACTGTACCACAGGCACGCCAACGCCATGGCTTTGTCCAGTAGTCTGAGTGGTCAGTGCTCTGGGTTCCAAGTTGGACAACCTGGGTTCTAGTCCTGGCCAGGCCCCCCCCGCACTTGAGATGTGCAGGGGGGAAAAAAAATGCGAGCTCTGCTTTTAGGCTTGGCTAAATCTTTATATCACAATTGGCCAATGAGACTGACCTTGAAATGTCAAACATTTTATTCGCTCAGCCATTAACAAGCTATCTGAAATCTGGGAATCAAACTCATAAACTCACAACAATTCTGTTGTCATTGAACAATTATCATTTTTCAAAGCTTCGAGAAAATTAAAATAAGGATACTCTTAGAATGTACAAATAGCACATGAAATGGTGTAACATAACTATAAAAGAGTAATGATTGCACAAACTACCTCTATTAATTGTAAATACCTTTAAGAGCTCCACTTGATACTGCTACAATGTAGTACCATACCCAAAGTGGCCATGTTAGGTCAGACTGAAAAATCAAAGGGTAAGCTGTCTCAATAACATCTCCTTGGTTCATCATATCATGATATGTGACCTTCCACAGCAAAACATACACTATTAATGGCTTTCTGTTCACACAGGTCTACTTTATGCAAATGTCAGAAAATTTATTATATTAAAATCAGAAATGGAATCATGCACTTAATACTTATGTTTACCACATTGAATTCACTGTCAAAAGAAAAGATAAAGGGAACAATTTGGCAACATGCAAAGCTGCAATGAAAAAGTTGCAATCGCGTTTTTGTGCAATAAAGTGGCAATAAACACTCAACACAGCAATGATAAATAATGACAACTTGACCTTCACAGGTTATTTGAGTTTTGCTTTTCATGGAAGATGCTGAACTAAGTCTCTGCATGTTTAACAAACTTGAATACTTCCTCAGGCAATTTTATAGTGGCTGTGGGAAGTCAATATTTTTATTACATCAGAACAGTTGACTATCTGTTCAAACCTACTTTAAATGTGAATCGGACTGGATCTGTCCATTTGTTTGGAATAACAGCCTATCCGTTTGGCTCTTATAGCAATTGTTTTTCAAGAGCGGTCCGAAACTAATCGTAAACCCATTCATCCATCTATGTCAACCTGTTTGAAAACTTTCACAAGCCATTCAGTTGTTTGATAATTTTCACAAGCCATTCAGTTGTTTGGGTAACCCATTTGATAATTTTCACATGCCATTCAGTCGTTTGCATGACCCATTCAAAAATTTTGACAAGCCGTTCAGTTGTTTGAGTAACCCGTTCAAAAATGTACATAAGCCATTCGGAATACTTGACAACCTGTTCAGCCGTTTGATAACATCCATTAGAACAGGTGAGTTAACCGTTTGTTACTTGTTTGATAGCCATGCACTTCACCCATTTAACAGAAAGCCGTTAGTGTATGTTTTCCTGTGGAAGGTCACATAAATTATCGTAGGACTGGATTGAAATATTGTTGATCATGAGGATTTCCAAAGTGTTACAAGTGATTAACTTATGGCCTGTAATTGATTTAAGCTGACATTACATATCGTGACTGTAAATATATGTGATGTACAAGTATAAATGCATCAGTTCTATAAATACATGCACAATCATGTACATTGCATAGCAAGTAGCCATAAAAAAGGCACGATTTCATTTAATAGGTAACACACATATACTGAGGTACAAATGTCACAGACGACCCAACCAATGTTTCTGAATGGATTTCTAAATGCCTGTCATAATCTAGTCTTTATCATCATCATGCGATCAGTAAGCCTAATAGACCAGTACTTGGGAAACCATAATGAAATCAGTGATATTGTTGCATGGGTGTCCAGCCTTACCTGTCATGCCACTTATTACACTTGGATTTATTAACACCAATTTATAGCAATCATTTAATTCTTTTCATTTCTTCAACAAGTACATAATGATATTTCTGTAACTTGAAGAACTATTAGCTGTACTCTGTCTGGTCTACATTATGAAAATTGGTTTCATCTTTTATTGTGAAATTTACAATGACTTCACAACACATTATAAATATACTATACAAAAAATGTTATCACTTAGGCGACAGTGGCCTAAGAAAGGAATACTTGTGATTACAATGACTGACATTTTAGATGACATGAAGGGAACTCATCATCAGAGTCAAGTGTTTTAATCCCATTGACACTGTACTAGTAACATCAAAATAAACATATTCCTGTGTTCTTTCAACTTTCTTAGACTCCATGGCTTTTCAGGAAAAGAAAGGCAGAGATTGTCACTAATAATTAACATTTGCCCTCTAAAAACAAACAAAAGTGTTATCCTTTCTATGGTAGTTTTCTTTCTAGTTGAGTCATTCTATTAGTCACGACTTCATGAAAATTACAAATGTGCTCATCTTGACTTTAAAAAAAAAATTCAAGAACTGGCCTGGTAATTCAATCGCTACGTAAGCATCTCTTCCAATGACGAATATTTTTGCACTTGGCAGTTGACGAAGAAAACAATATTTACAACCTGTTTCAATGAACCTGTAAACTGCGTCAGAATGTGTAATTTGTGGCTAAATAGATAGATAAAAGTAACAAATTCTAGGACTAACTTTACGATAGATTAATGCTGAATTGAATCAATCGCTTGAGTCCGTTTATTTTGATTTTTTTCCAAACGCTGCATAAGTATCGAGAAATATAGATAATATTGAACGCCAAGGAAGAGCGTCAAATTATGTTTTGTTTCCCTGGCTCGTATTCATTGAAGGCCTTTGCTTCCCATTAAACACACGCGTAGATAAGAATCTAGTTTCAAGGCGAAATTCTTTATCATTTTGCTTCTGAAACGACGAACACTGATTTAATTCTTAGGCAATGAACAGTCTACGTGTAAATGCATTTATTTAACATGCATAATGTGAAAACAGTGGGAATAAATGACACATGATTGTCACGCACTAACCGGATCAATTTCAGTCTCTTTTTTCTTTCTGCTGCTTCTCCTGTCATCGTCTGAACTGCTGTCGGATGAATTTTCCGAAGGCTGGTTCTTCTTCTTCTTTTTCCTGTATTTTTTCTTCCGTTTGTCATCCGAGAGGTCGCGATCAGAGGGTTCGTCTTCCTCTTCGTCGTCCCCGTCTCCATCCAAATTAATCGTTTGAAATTCGTTTTTTAAACCTGAAAAGTTAACTTGAGGTAAACCTGCGACACCTAGATCAATGTTCCCCTCATCTTCGTCGTCGGAATCGTCTTGCTTTTCTCCTGTCAAGGCCGTTTGCTCTGTTGTTGCATTGCTTACCGTCTCCATGTTTGTTGTGATCAAGGTTTCAAAAAGGACAAGCATGCGCGTTATTCATGTGTCACGTGCTGATAAACGATTGTGGGCTCAAATAGGGTCAGCTTGTTGGCTTAGTCTCGTACCCAGACCTTCAACGGCCAAGTAATTCAAAGCTAGGTTTGAACTAAGAAAACTCAGGGTTAGCGTAAAATCTGATTTTATATCTGAAAGCTTTAAAAGAATATTTAGTATAATTCTTTTGGCTACAATTTAATGCCTGGATGTTGTAAAAGTAATTGAAGAAATTAAAACTTAACCCCAGGATAGCGCAAATTGGCCTTTGAACAACTGAACCCTCAACCTTAACTCAGTTCAGGTCAACCTATAGCATTTTACGCGAATAATTCCGCAGTGAACAAGTGAAATTGTTATCCAAAACCTAAAAAATAAGCTAATGATAAAACTAGTAATCATTAAATAAACACTTTGCTATTATCGAAAAAGGTAAAAAATAAATGTCAGTTGTTTAAAACTGCATGGTGCTGATAGGCCCTTCCCGACAATGCCAGCATATTTTCGGCATAATTCGGTTTTAGGAGCATTTTTTCTCAGACACGTTTTCTCAAAAAGAATTGCTAACATAATTTAGCCTTTTCCGTGCTGTCTCGCCTGCTGTCTTTCCTTGGCACGTCTATCCGGTCAGCGGTTAGCTTGCATATGTTGTACTCAGTCCTTGCTTAGGCGTGGCCCTTGCTAAAAATCAGAACAAGATGGGTCAGCTTCACCATCATCACGAAGTAACTTAAAGGTCAGAGAAGGGCTTCAGAAGTAAAGCAAGTTCTCTCGGTGCAGCCATTTACTGCTGCAGCAAAGGGAGTATTCTCGATACCTGAGTCCGGTCGCAATAGAAAATGTGCCCTAGTCAAGAGAATATGATATTCCGCCCAAGTTTACTACTTGCAAACAAGTGTAATATCGCTGTAAAACAAGCGATGAACGCGTTGAGGACGTCATGAAACGCATAGAGTATTCTTCAGAGGAGGAATAAACAAAGAGCTAGCGTTGTGTTATACAATACCAGACACATTTGAAGAAAATAAACAATGTTACATAGGAGTAAATAGAAACAAAATGTTTTTCACTTTATTCAGTTAACGTATAACGCTGCCGGATGCCTTGTGTGTATCTTTCTTCAAAATAAATCAAAGCATGTTTCAAACCAAATGTGTATAATTTTCAAAAATGATCATAATCTGAGCATTATTTAAACAAAAACCAGTATTAGGAGTATAAAACGCCAGTTTCACTAGCATAATGGGGAAGGGTCTAACTTCTGAAGTTCATTTTGTTGATTAAAAAACGAACAAACAAACAAAATAAACTTGAACATTCATAACCACACAGAAACGCTTCGTGTACTGTACACTCCAGTTGTAAATAGCTCTTTTATTCGAGATTTATCTTAAGGCGTATTCGAAAAAAAAAACTTCATTTTAATAAAGATCTTAAGTGTCCTTTTTTACTGCGTTTCAATTTTCGACAGTTATTGCGATATATTACAACATTTTTAGCCACTGAGGCAAGATTATGCAACCTAGCCCCTTAAATTAATGCTTTTCGTCGCTTTAGTTCCTCCATGTAAGGCGAGTTCATTCTTTAAGGGAGTTATGTTCACTGTGATATATCAGCTACCACGTGATCCCCAACGTTGAACTGTTGAGGTAAAGTAGCTCGAACACCATGCGCAAACAGGAGGCACCAGGAGCCTGATTAACAAAAACGTTTAATAGGGGGAGACTGCCACTCTTTTCTGACCTCATTTAGCCCTACGTACAATATATTAAATGTCTTATGGGCAGGCGTGTGTGGGCCCTACAGGACAACTGATCTTGACAGATTAAACTGAGTCAAACAGTTTTGCAAGACTTTCGAAATGAACAACAAAATACTTGAAAAACAACCAATCTTCGAGAGCTAAAATCTAGACAAAACTTCTCATTGAGAAATCTAAGCAAGGCCAAGGACAAACCCAATCACGATGAGCGATAATCGTAGGAGGCCTATTACAACGATCAGGGTCGTTGTAATGTGAGGTCTTGCAGCGCAAGACAAACCAAGGCTCACAAAATTCGCACAAGGATCTCATGATAATCTAACAGGCCATACATGTGGCACGCGTTAAGAGTCTCTCAATGCCGTTCTAGCCTGTTCCAGGCGTTCTTTAAGTAAAACGAAGTACGATAGTGAACATATAGTAGCGGAAAAGAGAAAAAATGAGGAGACTTGGGTTGGGTCGAGTAATGAAACCCGCCCCAAACCTCTCTCGCTTTTTCTCTCCTCTGTTACTTTCGCGCCGTTTTACAAATGAATGCTTGGAACAGGCTTTGACATTCTGTTAATTAGTTATTCTTGCAGATTTACGGCAGATGAGAATAAAAAGATTCTTTCACAACCAAGGATGGTTTGATATCTGACAATCTTCCACATCCTGCAAAGAACGAAAGACGTAAATAAAAATTTCGTTTTCCAAACATAAACCACTCACACTATATATGGCATCACCAACACTTCAACTCCAAAGATCTGATTGTTTATTCATCCATCTAGCAACTTGACATTTCCTTCTGAATTAATAAGAAAAATTTGGAGCTAGCTCATGATAATAACATTTCCTTGATAAAGGCTGTAAGGTGTCTTTATTCATGTACTACACATGCACTGGCCTCTCTTAAGAGGGTACCATTCACAAAAAGGCGTCTTCAGAGAAGATGTATTTATGTGTAAAAGTATTAACATGAACAAGATTATGATTATATTATAACACCAGAATTCAACAAAATTTCAAGTGTCCAAAGGAACTGATACAAAAACGGACTGCATTTTATGCCATTAAGGATTTAACTCCATTAGCTAAGATATCAGGCAGTCTGTGAATGTGAATATTTTTAGGTGTGATCTTTCCAAGTTATTAATACAAAAATTTTAGTTGATGTCTTGTACATCTTAATTAAGTTTTTTATATCTTAGCATCTACTTTTATCGTTGATTGCATGCAAAACCATCCGAAAAAGTTATCTTAATCAAGATGATGATGATGATGATGATGATGATGATTATTATTATCATTATTATCATTATTATTGAATATGAAAGCGATCTTTGCAGTTATGAACACTACTTGAGCAGAGATTAAAAGGAAATGAAAAAATAGAACTAGAAAGAATAACGTAAATTTGTGACTTGGAGTAAAGATTTTTTTTACTTAATTGAGATACAATGTCGTAAAAGTCTTGTTCTTAGTAAGTAGACAAAACCCAACCTGCTACTATCATGGCAATTTTCAATTCTTCTTTTAGCATGTGTAAAACATCTGACACACCTTGCTTTCCCTGAGAGAAAAAAGCGTGGAAAAAAAATAACACAACACAAAACATTTTCCGATCATCCGGACTCGCCTCTCGGGTTCCTGTTTTCATGAATATCAACAAGTTACATTCGAGATCTGTGACAACTTTTTTCCTTCACACAAAGTACATGTAGAGAAGCAATGTTCATGCTAATCTATGAATGGAGCTTCAAAAAAACAAATGGTGAAATAAGCGACGTGCGCACGCTATAGCAGCTTGAAACAGACTGATCTAACTTATAATATTAGGTCGTAAAACGTTTTTGGTTAGCTTTACTAACTTTTTAAAAGTACTTTTGGTAAATGTCAATATAACCGAATGCACAATTATTACAACGATCCTTATTCAGTTTTTTGGTTCATTAATGTTCCTATATTCTATTATCCTAACTATTCAGCCCCCACGAGTCCGGATATAGTCGAGGTTTAACTGTATATTTTACAATGGAATCTTCTCATCTCGTAGTCTCCTTCGCAGTTGTTCTTCGGATATCAGGCAACGAGAACGGCTATAAGGCATGCTTCTCATCTCGATTTCACATTTTTTAAACCTTTAGTTTACTCAAGCTTATAGTATTCTTCGTCCCCGGGCGTAGCATCTCAGCTCTCACCGAGAACACAAATTGAAAACACATATGCGCAAGAGTAGACATGAAAGGCAAAATCTCTAGTTCATACGGTGGAGTTTAGTCGTTCGCACCATTCTCATTCCCAGAGTCCTCGTTGCTTTTGGTCGCGTCACCGAAAATGAAAAAAGAGAGTTATGTAGTGTTCCCTTCAAGGTGGGTGTAGTTTTTGTTGTAGTACTGACAGAGCTACATCTAAAGCATAGTAATAGTTATAGGTCGATCAATTCAAAGCTTCAACATCCCTTGAGCAACCCCCTGGGCATTTGAACTTTTGAAGATTACGTCGTTCATATTACCCCCCCACCCGGCTAAAATTGTGCTCAAATGCTCCACCCAAATGTCGGATTAATCGTCAATTTTTTTGTTGAAAGGCAAGATTGGCGATCGTGACTTTGTGGACCTCAATTTCTGAGCCATCTGCTCACGAAAGTGAACTTTGAATCTTTAAACACCTCCTTGTTAAAAGATAAAATATTATTCCAGTGGAAAGACGTGACAGTTCTGGTTCAAATTTCCTGCCACAACGGACCACGTTCAAATTCTCGCTCCCCGGGCACGGACGCCAGTTAAATGCCCATGGGTTGGCCGGGGGATGTTGAAGCTCCAAACTGATCTGTGCATGGGCTTCAAAGGTAATCTTTGGGGAGGAGACTTTGAGTTTTAGGTACAAAAATGATTGTGCGACTTACTTGGTATGCTAAACCCCACACCACAGGTCTCCCAATGAACACAGCCCGTGCTCCAAGTGCCAACGCTTTGAGTACGTCAGTACCATGTCTTATTCCTCCGTCAACAAAAACGTCAACTTTCCCTTCAACAGCCTTTACTACTTCTGGGAGAGCATCAATCTACAAATAAAACAAACAAGCTTTGTGAACATTTATAGCGGAGCTCGCAGAGCGTAGCCCCATAATTATACAAAATAGTAGTAACCCATCAGGCCGAAAAAATTTGGATGTACGACCGTACGACCGTACGACCGTGCGACCGTACAAGGTGCTACTTTTAACATGCGTGGTCAACTGTACCCCGAACAACGCCACGGCTTTGTCCAGTAGTCTAGTGGTCAGTGCACTGGGCTCCGAGTCGGACGACCTGGGTTCTAGTCCTGGCCGGGGCAAGGCGTCGTGCTCTTGAGATGTGCGGGAAAAAAAATGCGAGCTCCGCTTTTAGGCTTGGCTAAATCTATATATTATGATAAGTTGAATTCTAAACGCAATTTTGGTGGTTCTTACTTATGATCTATTGGAGGACAAACGCATGAATGACGTCATCATTACCAACACTTTGTTTTTTGTTATCAATAAACCAAATAGATTTTATGTTGCCGTGGGTCTGTACAGTGATAGATCATGGAACACATCGACATTAGTGACACACTGAGCTGCCCCTCACCTGTCTAGTATTGAAATGGTCAGCAGAACTTACAACCCAATCTCTCCCTTGAATCAAGAATTTAAAGGTGTATGAAGCTGAGGCAATTGCTTTGTGTCTGCTTATAGGGGGTGTCCAAATAGGACAGGTGCTCATTATCAAAGGTTTGAGTGCTTTCAGTAATTTTAACGAAGAAACTAATGTACATTACAGTTGCTGGCACTCCATCCAGTTGTCGGCCTCCATGATTGGACACAATTATTCCATTAACACCATGCTCAACAGCTAGTTTAGCATCCTCTGCAGTCAATATCCCTTTTATCAGAACAGGTAGCTTAGTAACACTTTTCAGCCAGGCAAATGAATTCCAGTCAATTTCCTGTTCAATGATAGATTTCACGTTCACAGCATAGTCATCAGTATTCGGTCCTTCAACATTACCAAACTTCAAATGTGGCACTAAAACAGCTTGATTTCTTAAATCGCGCCATCGCCGACCATGGATTATGGCATCAACTGTAAAAACGATTGCTTTGTAACCACTGTCCTCTGCACGCTTAATAAGGCTCTTTGTAAATTCGTGATCCTGGAAGATGTACATTTGAAGCCAATGTAAACCATTTGGTGCTGTGTTTGCAATATCTTCAATGGTGGCTGATGCCATACAACTAACAACCATGCAAGTTTTTGTATCTTGTGCGGCTGTATCAAGAGATTATTGAAAATAGATCCTTCAAGTATCCTAGTTCATTTGAATAACCCTTAATTAGTATGCACATTCTTTATTCTGTTCTCTACACTTTTTTTAAAGCAGTAACAAGGAGAGTTTGAGCAACAATCAAGAGCACTTTTTGGGTTAACGATCATCTCCTTCATTCTCATAACCTTTATATTTAATTGAGGGGTGACACTGTAAAGAGAGATTAGATGGTGGCCAGTCATAGGGGGGGTTAGAAAAGTTTATAAGTTTTAAGTCTCACAGGTAATTTTCTGCGAATGAATAAAACCTTGAAATAACAACTTGCTAAAATAGATGAGGGAGATGCAGTGGCCTTCTGGTTAGTGCACTGGACTCTGGGTTGAGAGGTCTGGGTTTGAGACCTGGCCGGGTCATGTGTTGTGTTCTTTGCCAAGGCACTTCACTCTCACAGTGCCTCTCTCTCCACCCAGGGGTATTAAAATTGGTACCAGCCAATTGTCAGGGAAGCCTGATGAAGTGCAGGGTGATAACCTAGCAGTGGACTAACATCCCATCTAGGGGGGAGTACTGTAACACTCCTAGTTGCTACATGGAAATGGCGACAAGCTCATGCTAAGAGGACCAATAGGCTTTGGAGTACAGACGAAAGGCAGATGAAAACCAAAGAGGGAGGAATTAACCAAAGGAGAATGAGGATGGCTGAGGATGAAAAGATTAAACAGAAATGCAAAAGAGTGTCTTGAAAATTCTGGATGAGTTTTTTTTATCCTAACAACTGACAAACTGTTAATTACTCTATATAATTTAATTACAGCACTTTCAATAACATGTGAACTATTGAGTTGTAGATGGGTTTTAAGTTGCCTGCAATCATTTCACAGACCTCAAGGTAATATTTGGTTCATTTAAGGTGCCAAACTTGGTCATTTTTTTAAGTTGTGGATAGAAGATTACATGCCATTTTTTTTTTGTTTTTGCCTCACTCTGGACTTGACGATCAAAAGAATGATTCAGAGCAGTATTGATGTATTAGCTTTCCAAAAGCCCCAGAGTTCACAAGTAATTGAAAAGTGTAATATCAACCTTACCTTGTGCACTGGCCTTTTCTGCCATAGGGTTTGCCATGGCTTGTATCCCGACAGGAGCCATACAAATAGGTATGCTGATTTTCTCTCCATATAAGGACAATGACAAGTCCACATCAGATATTCCACACAAGATACGAGGTCTTATACGTAACCTTAAAGGAAACAGGCTCATAATTATTCTTTGACATTGGTTTCCTGATGTGATATTAGTGCCTTTTCACAGAACTCAAAGAGCTCAAATTATAAATCACACAATTTGTAATAAAAGGCACAATATCAATACAGGAAACAGTGAATTTGAACTGAACACTGAGAACCCTCCAGTCCTTTATGGGCTGAGTTCACTTAAGCAACTAACACTATGTAAAAGCTTGTTTCCCTGGTTAAAAATTTAATTATCTCTGTTATGAATTTCAGAAGCACAAATGGGCTGACCCCTGATAGTAATTGTAAGCAAGTCTTAATGCAGTAGGTTGTTATTCACTTCTTGACTAATTAATTAATTAGCTTGAAATTGATCAAAAATTAATCAATTTTTAAGTCAATTAATTCATTGGTCAAGAAAAGAATAACAACTTACTTTTCCTACATGTATCTTGATTGTTCATCACTTATGATCTCTATTGATACATCAAGACTGTAATTATTGGCAATTTTTGCATCTGAGCTTTCACATAAGATACATTCAATTTCTTTTTCTTGGTTTAGAATTTTAAAAACCAGGTGGGTTTTTTATTTCCCTATAATCAAATTATCTTAACGACTGGGGTTTCAATAACTTTTTCCATAAGTGCAATTTAGCTAGTCCTATGCTGTACTAGGCGGCAGTGTCCTGAAAACGGGCTGTAAGGCGAAACTAAAACACGAGAGTCTGCTCACAAGCTAAACAGATGGCGGTAAGAGGTAGGGGCGGCGGTAGACCACCGGTAACTGGCTATTAATGAAACCCTGCATAACTAATACAAAACAACGAAAAACAATACTACTCACACTGATCTAAAACACATTTTTACCAAAAAAATGATTCATCACTCGTTACATTCATATTCAATACAATTCCACGAATCTATAGGCCTCTCAAGTACCGTTCAAAGAAGAAAACATTTTGCAAAAACAACGGTGATACTCTCGCGTGCAGCTCCTGTGTTGTGCGTAACATTTCGAAGGCAACAACGGTCTGCACCAAAACTGAATGGGCGAAAGGCGACGTGAAAAGCAATTTACTGAGGATAGTTCTGTACTATGTCGTGTTAGAAATAGAATGCTTTTTCTTTTCCTACTTGTTGTATGCTTGACAATTTTCCCTCAACGTGAATTCCTCTTCGGCCCCTGAAGCGTAGAAATCGTAGGCGTATTGTGGCAAGACTTTCTTCGCAAGTTCCTCGAAATCACCGATACACACTGGCTTTGCCATGTTGAAAATTTCTTAACTGATGTGCAGCTATATAATTTATAGCAACCCTGACGGGAAAAAGGCTAGTTAAACTGCACACAAGATAGTGCTTTCGGAAATAACCCGTGTCAATAACCTTTGAATACACTTGACCTCATAATGGCGCGGCCATGTGTAACCGCGTAATAGTCTGGGTTCTAGTCACGCGATGCGCTCTACTTCCCTTGCCGTTCAGAAAGAAAAAAAAGAAAGTACAAAAAAAAAAAAAAAAAAAAAAAAAAACCAAAGAAAGAGAGAAAGAAAGAGAGACAGAAAGACAGAAGAAAGAAAAGCTAACTCTCACCTGTCTATTGAGACAGGGTAATTAATAGTGGCAATTACCTTGTTGTACTTTCCCACCTGCGCAGCACCACAATTTCTTTAGAAACCTAATCCCTATACTCATTTGTCTCTTGAGACATTTCACTTAATTTTATTCGACTTTATATTCGACTCACAGCCAGCTTCAGACAGAGCTTTGTTAGCGGTGCAGGTGAAATGCAAAAAACAAAAATTTATTCATATCAAGAAGGCCAGTCCCTTTACCGCTAGCCAATTAAATAACTTAGCTCGAGAGGTGTTGAAATGTGCTCTAAGATAAATTTTGCAGTTCAAACAACTTGGAACTGAAATAACAGGTCTATCCGTCATGTCTACTGATTTCAAGGAACATCTCATTTTCTTTTTCTTGTTTTCGATCTTCACCACGGCGAGCTGTTCTTCAGGTAAATATTTTCTAAGTACTTCATTTGCACCTTAAATTTTCTTCAATCATTTCATTCTTTAATTGTTGCACAAGATATTTACTGTTAGTGCATAACATGGGCTATATTAAGGAAGACTTGGTTTTTTCAGCTGAGTCGATGAAATAGACTGACCACAAGAAAGAGTTCTAAAGCTGACTTTTCGAGCGTTAGCCTTTTCCAGCTAAATGTAAAAAGTTTTCATAAAATATGTTATCCCATTCGTATCAATCGCGATTAAAGGTTGGTACGTGTCAATCACTTATACTCTGACAATTTGGCTTTTATAGACCGATGTTTTTACTTAAGGTTCAAGTTATTATGATACATTTAAGCCGAGGAAAAGTAGAGCTATTTCGAGTTCGAGTAAACTGAGTCGAGTTAGCTGATAGTGAATACCTGGAAATATGGAGGAAATCATAAGAAAAACTTCATAACAAAGTTAATAGGGGAACTGCTTATACTTAACAACTTTATCCAACCAGACTTAATAGTTACTCCAATACTGAGTTGTAACGTCTAAATACATTATTCATTATTACCTTTTTTTTTCAAATTTGTTCCTGCAGTTTGTTCTCTTTCTTTCACATGGCTTTTCTTTGAAAGGACTACGATATTCCATCTTTTTTTTTTTAATTCTGTCGTTTTCCAAGAAAAAATAGAGAAGTTGAGCAAAGGAAAAGTATGACAAACTGGTGGAGACAGAGTTTGATTTACAAAGGACAGGGAAAATTGCTTTAAGCTATGATTCTAGCTAGTCTTGCAAATCTCCCTTGCTCTTCAAACTTGTGCGTGTCTCATATCTAAATGACCATTACGCTAGCAAACTATATCAGTGTTCGATTTGTTTGTGCCTTGGAGGTGTAAGTGGTAAGGCTAATACTGAAAAAAAAATCTTCATGCTGGCTCGAGTGCAGGGGGAAACTCATCCCATGTCATGATACTAAAAGACTGATTGATTGATTGATTGATTGATATTAATACAACGATCCATTCCTCGAACTCTGTAACTATTTGTTTAAAATTGAAGATACAACAAGCACTCTCACAGGTGGATAAACATGAACATAGTTTTGACGTCACGCTGCGTTTCGAATTATTTTTCAGAAAATGTATAAAGATAAAAGAATAATTTTTTCCGGATTTACATAGCCTCATCTTAACACCCGGTTGGCTGAGAAACTTCGAGAAAGTCATGCAAACTCCCCGTCCCCCTCGTGTTTAGACGAGGCTATATTAACACGGAAAAAGTTCCTTATCGCTTAAGTGCAGTTTATTTTCTGAAGAAACATACGCCACTAAGGCGTGAGATTTGTTTCCGTCCTATCAGAAACAGTGGTAACGATTACATAATACAAGTTTTCATCAAATGCAATGGGACTCGAAAGATTGATTTCAACTGAATTAAGTGTTACAACTTGACAAAATTTTCATATCACTTTCATCCCAGGAATCAACAGTTTAAAGCAAAACCAGCCTCCATTTCGCACATTTAAACAACGCCAATTTTCAGTAGACGACTTCCATTATCTGAATGTAACTCGGTTCGGAATATTCACATCGTACGACAAGTGGGATTGCGCATTTAAATGTATCAGAAATACTTTGTGCCGATCGATAAACATGGCCGCCGCCAAAGGAGCAGATGGAAAGCTTTGGTTCGAGTTGTTGCCCTCTGATAAGTACAGAGACGCTGAAAATTACCACGAAAACATGACTTCGCATCATTTCCATGTCATAGTAAGGACTTTTTTTTTTCAACTGTCGAGATGTTAAATTTGTTCTTAAGAAAGCATTTATAGATTAACGCGTCCTTGGACTATTCCAACGATGAATTTTTTTTTTACCATTATTCAAGTTTCCATCATGTTTTTCCTCGCCGTGTTAAAACGGAGGAACCTGCATCTCGAATTACAACTCTTACTATTGTCGTTGTGAAAAGAGTTTTGTGGGAGACCATTGTGAAAGAGGTAATTCAAAAGTATGTCAGTTATCCCTGTTAATTCTTAAAAACCTCTGCTCAATCTAACTTCTATTGTTCTCTTGAATTGTCCCCTGTGGTCTTTGTCAACACATGTACCTCATATTTTATTTAATGTAAATTCACCATTCTCTTTAATAAAACCTAGCTATATTTTGATCAGTAAACTCCTACTTCTTTTTCGTCTTTAAGGGTTAAGGGTTAAGCGGTGAACGGATTTTTAAGACATCCCTGCGTAAAGACAAAAATATTTACAAAATAAGATGAGGATGACAAGACCTGACTGAAAAATTAGGAAAAAGTTAGCACTCCCGAGAAAAAAAAGAAGTTGAAAAATTGTTTTGCGGAATGTCCGTCGCTTGAAAGCGAAACTTTCAAACGGTGTAAAACCAAACCGTGCCAAGTTGATCTACAAACCTTAAGCGAGGTCTCGATGAGCACTGATAAATAATAATACATTTAGATATGAAATGGATCAAACCAATGAGTGACACTCGTAAACTAAAGAATAAAGAATAAAAAATTATAATTTTTAACTCGTGGATATGCGAAGAATATTCGATATGCAAATTTCGTGGCTTCAGCACTTCCTTAGGAAGTCTGGGAAGAGCATGTATCTTGTAAAATATAGGGGATCGATCATGAAAATGACGGATTGATTGGGGAGGACTCTTCTGAGGGTGATGGCTCAATAGCTTTTCTTGAAATTACGGGATCAATGGCTTTTGAAAAATCTTTTATGTCCTAATTCTATTCTGCAAAGTGTATCCGCTATGTTTACGAGTTCACCATAGCGTTACATTTATTTCTCTCAGTTGCTAAGTCTTGTAAGGAGCTATATGACTTCTACAGGTAATTTTCTTTATTACATGTTAGTGCTATTTGACTTTAAGATTATGTATGGAGTTTTCCAGTTCAGAAAAGATCTTGTTTGTTAGCTACTAGTTAAACTAACTCATTGGTTATATTTTGACTGCTCCAAATTGTTTGGCAAAAAATTGCTGTTAACATCATGT